CTCTTCAAATATTGGCGAAGTAGTTTGTATTTTTGTGGCGGCTGTGCTAGGAATACCTGATACCCTTGCTCCCGTGAGTATGTTGATTTAAGAAAATACTTTTATCGTATATCTTAAATTGGGGGGGCGGGGGGGAGGAACTATATTTATTTGTAACGCTGTCATCTTCATTGATTAAAATAATGACTGATAATATCTACATCTTAGCTTTCCAAGATAATTTATCCTGATTTCATTTTCTTGATGGTCCACATTCCTAGGAATTACGTTTTCTAGTAAATACAAGATTGCAATTATTTTGATAAGCTTTCGAAAATTGTCTTTTATCTTATATTACGTTTTCTTAAATAGACAATACTCTTGATTTTTTTTAAAAAAAAAAACAATGTCCAGGTCCAGCTGCTATGGGTCAACTTGGTTACTGATGGATTGCCTGCCACTGCCATTGGATTTAATAAGCAGGATTCTGATGTGATGAAGGCTAAACCATGCAAAGTACTGCTTTTATGATTCATTATATTCTAATAGCTTGATGCTTTTCTAGAGAAGGGATAAACCAAACCAATCAGGATTTTGTTTAAATTGAAAACATGGAAAGGAAAGCTAAATTGCTAGAATTATTGAACACAATAGAATTGGTTTGGTTTGATTAAATTTTTCTTATTTTAATTTTTAAAAAGAATTCATATAGATAGTTAAGTATATTCCGCAATAAAATGAGATTTATCTTCCTATTTTTCTTCTCTAGTATGATACAATTGTAGATAACTAGTTTTCTGTTTCAATTCAGGTCAATCACTTTACTTAACTTGGTTGTGCAGGTTAGTGAAGCAGTGGTCACTGGCTGACTTTTCTTTCGATATTTGGTGATTGGAGGTGCATATAAATTCTGTACTTATAATTTATTTATTCTAATAATCTGGAATGCTTTGTTCCACTTTTGGGTATGACTTTCAATTTGCAGTATCATTTTGCTTTGTTTCCTACATGCATATTTGATCAATTAAATACTGAGTAGTGTTTTTAAGTTTCTTACATCATTTGGATTGATTCAATTGAGACTGTGTTTTGTAAAATATTCACTAATAAGGATTTTTTCCCTGGCTGATGTAGCTTATGTTGGCCTTGCTACTGTTGCGGGGTTCATATGGTGGTTCGTTTACTCAGAAACTGGTCCTAAACTGCCGTATAGTGAATTAGTAAGTTTCTGTTTTCTTTTGTTACTAATGTGAAAAATTAGTGCTGTGTTCCTTGGAATGGGCATATCTTCTGATGGGAGTTTTGCTGTTAATTCATGTACCCTTGAGAATGTGGAATATATTGAAGAAGTTGTTTCTTTTATATTTGTTATTGGCCTTGGTGTTTTGATTTGTCTCCATTTTTTCTATTATGAATAATTGTGTGGGAGATGTGTGTGAGGCAGGATCCGTTGACACTGTAAAACTTTTAAGATTTATAAGTTTTTTGGATCGTTAGAAAAGTGAAAATAGATACTGAGATTAAAGGTAAGAAATGAGGAGTTTTTTTTTTAAACAAAAAAGTGGATTATCCTCAAATTTAAAAGCTTTAATCTCAGCCATTAAACTCAGTTAATCCAACAATCCAAAAACGTGCACAACTTGAAAGTTTTACACTGTAAATGGACTCATAGTTAACAGTAATTCGCTCTTTGTGGGATTTTCCGGTGTTTTTATGTTCAAGCGGTTCCCTAGTTGGGATTATTTATCTTAAATTTCAGCATGTAAATCCTGAAGAACTAACTGTTTAGAGAAAAAGGACTTAGCTTTTAGATTTATGATCATAGGCATATAAATCTCTCTTCTAGGCTTGCATAGCTTTACGTATGTCTCTCAGAGTACCTGATAGGTTCATTTGTTGCAGATGAATTTTGATACGTGCTCAACAAGGGAGACAGCTTATCCATGTAGTATTTTTGAGGATCGGCATCCATCGACGGTGTCCATGACTGTGCTTCTTGTTGTTGAGATGTTCAACGCTTTGAATAACCTCGGTGAAAACCAATCACTTCTGTAAGTATAGTATTTCCTTTGCTAGTATTTGACCAAAAAACTTATGTGGGGGGGGGAGAGATTTTTCACTAATCTTTTGCCAACTTTATTTAATTTTAGGGTTATTCCTCCTCGGAGTAATTTGTGGCTAGTTGCTTCAATAATCCTAACAATGCTCCTTCACATACTAATTCTGTATATTCCCCCACACTATCTACACTGTTCTCCGTAAGTTGTTTCCTCCATCTGCTATTCACCTTTGTTGTTGAATTAATTTCTATTTTCGTTTTTCTTATTTGAAGAAACTAGTCTAATGGCATAAAAATATTTTGTTTTATAGGTTACACCGTTGTCTTGGAATGAGTGGACTGTTATCCTCTATCTTTCTTTCCCTGTAAGTTCCAAGTAGCATGAACTTTTATAACGGGTAACTGCATTGTAATATGGCATGGCTTTAGGCTGTATATTTTTTTCATTATACACTCGTCATCACGGCCTTTAACTATTGGTGATTGTGGTATGGCTTTCAATCAGAGTCTCAGATGATTTATTGTACTTCTACCATTCTCTAATATCCGCTGCAGGTTATAATCATTGACGAGGTGCTAAAGTTCTTTTCAAGAAATTCCCATGGTAATGCTTACTGTTCAGTTGGGAATATATCTTTTGACCTAATGAGCAATCATCATGCCTCTTACATATGTGGAGAACATCCTCTATTACATTATAATCCGTATCATTTTTAGAAGAGAGCGGTCACCAGAAAACATCTGTTTGTTTTGATTTGTTGTAGGAATAAGGTTCAATTTCAGATTCAGAAGATTTGAGGCACTTCCAAAAAAGGAATAATGTTACTTTACAGAATCTTTAGCCCTTTACGTATGTTTTGAGCGGATACGAGGCATAGCTGACGGGTTTCTCCTCTTTGGAGAATACAAATGGAGGATAACTTGCTCAAGTTCTTAGGACTTTTTTGTTTTTTTTTCCCCTTTTCACCGGTGCCTCCTGAAAAAGCCGTTACGAGGAAGGAGATGATTTGGTGTCTTGTATATATATATATATATTATGACCACTGCGAGTTCATACGTCAATGGCTATAGGAAGGGAGAATGCATCGTTTGTGTCTCAGAAGTGGTGGTAACATTTTTAGTTAGTTAATTTATTTTCTAATACAAGAAATGAATTCCGTAAGTCCAAAATATGGCCGCCTCAACTTACATTTGATGTTGTTAGACCATTTCATAGACATGAATTTATCTTTGATTTCTTAACTCTGTTTTCTTTATGATTTGATCCAAATATAAGCATATTCATCTTCATCAAACTACCTTTTTTAAATGATATATTGCTATTAGATGCATATCAATTAGGGTCTTAGTGTTTCCAAAGAAACGTGTCATTATCCTCTTTTCACCAATCATTTTCGATTTATTGATAATATTAAATGTCTCTATGCTGGAACTTGTTTTCATCATGATGAACGTCGTTGGAAATAAAATGACGTTCAAACACGAAGGAAATTCACAAATTTCACTTGGGCGGTTAGTGAGGAATTATTAATACAAATAGCATTATGGTTCAGATATTCTTCTAGCATACTTCGGCATGCAATCTCTCTATCACAAAGGCTGTCCAGAATCCAGATATCCGCCTTTCTAACATTATCCTCCCTACAAATGCAACCAATGTGATACGAAAAATATTATGAGGAAAACTAATTTTCCTTTAATTTCCATTGAAAGACGATGAATTTGAAAACAAACATAAGCAGAAAAGGAACTTCCTTTAATTTTCATTCGGTGGACATGTCGGTATTCTCCGTACTTTTCAGAGGTTGCCCACCAACTTTTACTATTGAGGCGTGAGCAAAGATGTTCGGTAGTTTGTCAGCTAATGTCAAGTCTACCAGTGTATGTAGTGAAAGTCTAGCTCTGATGGGGCTTCTTCAACCTCTGTCCATACTAAGGCAGGTATTGAAGAACATGTCGTTGGACTTTTATCATTGGTTTGCCTAAGTCCAATAGAAAAGAAGCCATACTTGTGGTGCTGGATCGACTCACCAAGTACGGGCATTTCTTTGCCCTTCCCAAGCAGTTGGAGAGTAAGTGTATAGCTATGATTATGGTGTACAGGTGTAGTTAAGTTTACATGGAATATTTCGAACCATGGTCAGTGATAGGGATCGAATTTTTGTTTATGGATTGTGGACTGAAGTGATCAGGTTACAAGGAACCGAATTGTGCATGAGCTGTGCGTACCACCCTCGGATCAACGGATAAAATCAAGGAGTTGAATCGGTGTTTAGAAATGTACTTATGTTCTGTACAGGCGACGATCCTAATAAAATGGGAGAAGAACTACCTCACATGGGCAGAATATTGATATAACACTGCTTATCAAATATCAGCGAAAATGACACCGTTCTTTTTAATTCTTCTACTAGATTTCATGACACAACATTTTACGTATAATATGAATTTATAATATATATTTTAAATATTAAATAAGTTAAACCCCTAAGTCGTGTGGGATAGAAAACTAGTAATCAATATATTTAAATCTTTATTTGAGTTAATTTGAATAAATTGTTCATGTTATTTTTATTTTTATCTTATCCTTCTTTTGTTATAAACTTATAATAAGTGTAAATTGTGCTTCTCCCGATTGCAAACATCAAATACGTGAAGATTCACTCTACCGGCTGAGAAGTTCCAGTAGGAGAGGTAATTTGTTGCCGCATTCAGCCTGAACAGTACAATTATGTTCCTGCAATTCGTCGCATTTGATTTATTATCTTTTTGGCCATCATTGCCACTTTAGAGTTTCAACAAATGAGATCCAATATACTGGTGTTTCATTCTAGGAAACAGCTCAGAGAAACAAGAAAGAAAGGGTATTCTTCTCCTTAAATGCAACTTCATAATATGATCATCAATAGGAATCAAAGGAAGGACTTCTTTTCGTGACAGCATAGCTTTTGCTTCTCCGATACTACAAATCTAACTTCTTATCACCAACAACAGCTTTGTTTTCTTCAAACTCACAAGGGTTTTCTTCATCAATCCTTCCCATCGCAACGCTGCAGCTCTTTGGCAACCCTTTTGATCCCATCCGCACCCTCGGTTGTTGTTGTTGTCGTCGTCGAAAAAGCATATCCAGTTCATCCTTATGACCCAAGCTTCTCACAGATGCAGCTCTAACAAGCTCTCTAAAATCATCGTTGTCATTGGAGGTTACCGAGCTTACACTAAAGCTCCTGGGCAACCCCGAGTATTGTTCTGCGGCATGTCCATAGCTGACATTTGAAGCACAGCTTGTCAAACTTCTAACATACAGATCCCTGGCTTTTCCCAACGCTTTCAAGGGGACTGAAATCATCCGCATGAACTTGTTATGGCTATGCCCTTCGCTTCTCATTCTGCAATGGAAGTTCTAGAAATTTGGTGAATGAAAAAAGATTTGGGAAAAAAGAGTTAGGTTGAAGAGATGGGGTTTATTGGGGTGCTTACTAGGAAATGTTTATAAGGTAAGGTGGTTGAGTAGAAGCTATCAAGGGGAAGGACACATGCTGTTGGATTTGGAAAAAAATTCTGTTCAAAGGCACGCAGGATTGGACAAACCCTTTATAAAATCAGCAGCCGTGGATTGAAGAACATGCTTCTAGTTGACTGCCAAAATGTACAAAATCCAAATTAGGTCCACACGGCTTATCATCTTGTATGATCTATTTTTCCTTTTAAATTAATGCATATTCCACTTGGATTGGATTTTCTGGATTATTAAAGACAAGGATGATCACAATTGAGAACTATAACACCAGTGTGAATATTTTTTATAATATTTGAGATAATATACTATTGGAATTAAAAATCACACAATATCGACATGGGAAGAAAATCAAAAGGAAAAAAGAATCTCTATCTAACGGTGTTTGTTGTTCAAGTTAAATATATTATTTGGGATCGGACATGTGTTTATTGTTTCCCTTTGTGACTCAAAACAATACATAACTTAATTTGGTTAGAATAATATTTCTGTTGAAGTTTGTCTCATCTCATACCAAATGAAGATTAAGAACGTTTGGGAAATTATTTTCCAAGAAAAAGCTAACCTACAAATAATCGATTAACCTAAAAGAAAAAATAGTGATAAATATGACAAAAAGGATTTCTAGAAGAAAAAAAATCCAGCAACCCACGAGTTGTACAGTTATTTGCAAATACAGTAAAAGTGGAAGGGAAGTTCAAATATGCTTTTCATCTCATAAGTAAAAAAAAATCCACGCGTCAAATTTTCATTGAAAATTAGATATTTGTAATAGTAATTAATAATCCAACTATAATATAATAATATATGAAATAATAATAATTCGGTTACAGTAAATTTTGGTTATGAGTATTCAATAAATTAATAATTTTGAGTTAAATAAAATTTTAATGCCAATTTAAATTAAAGGGATAAAATAATAATCTCATCAAATAATGATTTTTTGAAAAATCCATAAGGGTTCGATAAAAATATAAAATAATAATTCATTGAATATATTGGAAATTTTATATACAGTAAATTTAGACTACTCTTATTTCTTTAATTTTATTCTTTGTTAAAATATGTATTTATAGTTAATTGCTTCTTCTTTACATGTGAATCGAATACAATTTCATTTTTAACTTTTCGAATGGTACAATTCATAAGCCAAATCTGGACGCAGCACTTTAATTCCCCAACTCCACGAAACCACCTTGCTGCTGTTGCACCTCATAATTCCAATGACTGGCCTAGACCTCCTGATGGATGGTTTTGCTTGAATTCCGATGGCGTTGTTCCTTCATCGGACCGAATCGGCACTGCCGGAGGGGTTCTACGTGATTCTAATGGTTCTTGGCTTATTGGCTTCAGCAAAAAGCTGGGCATTTCTTCAATCCTTCAGGATGAATTGGCTTGGAACAAAGGTATTCCGTGACTTGAAATTCAATCGGGTTGTGCTCAAGCGGTCAAGCTTATTGCTGGAAACGATGTGATCAACAACCCCCTTTCCCTTACTCGATCTATAGCAGCCTGGTGCAGCCATGCATGGGAGACTCGTACTAGGAATCCTGTAGCTGATGGACTAGCTAAGCTGCCCCCCTCAAATCTCTCTGAAGTAATCTACTATGAAACTCCACCAACGAGTATTGTTCATCTGCTGGATCTCAATGCAAGCAGCCATCCTCTTGTTTAGCCCCTAAGCTCTCTTTCAATTCAAAAATAATAATAATAATAATAATAATAATAATAATAAGAGAAAATATCTTCAGTGACCGAAAATGCCTTATAATATACGATTTTAACCAATTTTTTTTGGATTTGCGAAAATGACCAATAAATTCGCAACGCGAACTCCAATTTCGCAACGCGATTTCCAAATTCGCAACACTGAATTTTAAATTCGCAACACGAATTTTAATTTCGCAACAGGTTTTATTTTCGCAACACAAATGTTTTGGGTATATAACTACGCAGTAGCAACAACAACTCATAACCTAAATCCCTAAATCGCAACTCATTATATAGCCCTAGGAATATCATTTGAATTTTTTCTTGTATATGTCTGCATGTTGGGAAAAGCCTTAAATATCCAAATCTACAAATAATATAATACACAAACATTAGTAACTGTTAAATAATTAATTATAATTTTGGAAACATTATATAGAAATTCTTACCTTAAAAGCCCAAATAAAGCCTACCAAAGTGTATTTGGAACCATCGCCACGCAAACTACGACGGTACTCAAAGGCAGACGACAACTTTTTCCAGGTAGTTTTCCATAGATATGAACCCCAAGGAAACACGTTCCATGCATTTAGGTCCTCTACCAATAATATTATGTCCTCAAAAATAGGTTGTCTGGCCTCTTTGCCTAAAAAGCCGGCATTCAAAAGTAATAAAAGGCATACACGGACAACATCAAGGTCATTCATCCGAGTAAAATCATCTTTAAGAAGTAATATTTTCAAGTCGTCGACGTGTAAACTAGGCTTCGTCTTTGCCAGCTTAGGAAAAACCCGAGAAAACCATGATGGGCGGGCGATATGACTAGTGTACCGACCTACTTCATCGTGTCCGAAACGTAGACCAGTGATTAAGCAAAACTCCTCCCGCCCAAAACAAGTATATGCCGGTGGAAAATGAAACCATATCTCTTCATCACCACGTTGTATCCTCTCGGGTAGATCGTTAGTCATGGTCTGAATAAACAAATGGGTCAACATAGCATCTTCACCTAGATGTTGTACTTTCAGCCATGGCCCGAAGCAAGTATCCTCAAACAATTTTCTTTGTACAGGTGTAAGTGTCGACGCTATTGTAATGGCTAGGCTTAATTTATTCCTTAGAGTCAATGAAGCCGAAAAAAATTTCTAACAAAAACTATAAACATACCAAGTTAGATATACCAAAAACTACAAATTATACACTATAAACAGACATGATATTAAACAGTGAAAACAAAGCCAAATATGTTTCAAACTAGCACGGTATTAACCTAAGTCATTATTCTATCATAGTTTTTTAGTTGAAGTAATGCAATTCATTCAAGTTTCAATTTGCAAAAAAATAGTAGTTTCTGAAACTTAAATTCGCAACGCGAAACTAAAATCGCGTTGCGATTTTCATTTTCGCGTTGCGATTTTCGTGTTGTGAATTTCATTTTCGTGTTGCGAATTTAAGTTTCAAAAACTATTCTTCTACAAATTGAAACTTGAATGAATTGCATTACTTCAACCAAAAGTCAAATACTAACTTCACAGGGTTAAAGACAAAACAGTTTAGCAGTATTGGCAGCAACCGAATGAATTTACTAAGCAATCTAAGTGAAATAGTTAATCTATATATTGAAATTACCAGTAAATTTATCATCAATTTAAATATGAAAAATCTAATAATAATACAAAATTTCAAAATAAAAATATTTAAAAAAATAACCCTCGGTGATTGATTTTCATTTGTGGCCGTGAATGGTTGTGAGGGTGGCTCTGAGAGATGGAGCTAGACGGATTTCGCCAGAGATGGGGACGGATTTCGCCGGAGATGGGGACGGATGTCGCCGTAGAGAGTGAGAGATGGAGATGGGACTGAGTTGTGATTTTGGGTTTTAGGTTATGAGTTGCGATTATACTGTTTACATTTGTGTTGCGAAATTAATATTGTGTTTCGAATTCGAAAATAAACGAGCTTTGCGAATTTGACTTCTGTGTTGCAAATTACAAATTCGCGTTGCGAATTTGGAAACTGTGTTGTGAAATTGGAGTTCGTGTTGCGAATTTGTTGGTTATTTTTCGCAAATCCAAAAAAAATTGATTAAAATCGTATATTATAAGACATTTTTGGTAACTGAAGTTATTTTCTTAATAATAATAATCCTTTACATAATATTTTATTCTTCTCATTTGTAAATATAGACTTTTTTACACCTTTCAAATGGAAGCCATAGAAGAATAGATTATATGAATTGCAATATTTTGATACGTACGTGTGTTTATTTATAATAAAAAGTTTAATCTATCTAATGAATATATACGTGAAATTTGAAACCATTAACTCTTTTTTTCTTTTTGGTTATATATATATATTTGGTCTTCATTACATATATTTTCTATCAATTTTATCCTAATTTTATTTAAAAATAGAGTTAATTATATTACACGCCCTCAAACTATGACTTTCAATTTAGATTGATCTTTAAACTTCTGAACATTATATTTTTATCCCTAAACTATGAATCTCATTCTAAATTAGTCCTCAAACTTTTGAGCATTCCAAACTATGGCCCTCATTTTATATTGATCCCCAAATTTTTGAAGGATTTAGGGGGAAGTTATTGTGTTGTTCAAAAGTTTGGAGACTAATTTAGAATGGGGTCATATTTGGGGATGAGTTTGGAATGTTTATAAGTTTGGACACTAATTTAGAATAAGGGTCATAGTTTAGGAATAAATTTGGAATATTTAAAGTTTAAAGACTAATTTAGAATAAAAGTCATAGTTTGAGGATTATGATGCAATTAACCCTTAAAATATTTTAATAAATTTAAACCACTAGTAAGACGGTAACATATTATTGGAGGAAAACAAAGGTAAGTATAATTGAACTTGAGTCTCAAGGGTGGTGGAGAAATGTTTAAACCATTAAACCAAGTCTAAAATTTAGCTTATGGTTAATAATATTTCATGTATACATATTTTAAATTGTATTGAGGAAAATAAAGAATATAAAATAAAAGTGAGAGGAATTAAATATATATCTCAAAGAAGGTAAAAGTACACCTAAATCATTAAAATAAATATAACAATTAATTAATTATTATGATATTTTATATATAGGTTAACTTTAGTTAATATAAGATATTTTTTTAAAATAATAATAAATTTAAGAGA